AATTAACGTTAATTGATACTGCGGCTTTTAATCCGGTGCGGCTTTTGGTCGTGAAAATACGGTATTCTGGGTTGCATATTCTGGGTTACATACAGATAATTCTGTTAGAAAAGTCTGAATCCTATAGCTGGAAAAGAAAAAGGGCTGTAACCTTTTCAAAATGTATGCACCCTTTAAATATTTTACAACAATGCTTGACAAATATGTTGTCTTTTAAAGGTCACATACAACACTCTCTATTTATTTTGTATCCCTTTAACTTCTTGGCTAACTCATGAGTTATTTGATTCCAACCTGTAACGGAAAACTGACAGAAAATAATTAACCATATTAATAATTTGAAATTGTATTACCATATATAGTGATATTTCCTCTTGTCTGAGATTTGATATCATTCAAAGAACAGCATCTATCAGAGTATGTCCAGCCAGTAGGCTTAAAAGCCAAAATATGATCAAATTTCTCAGAAAACTTATTCAAATGATTTTGCAAATTCTATAGATAGAAAATAATATCTAGTTATTTTAATTGAAAATAAACGCTTTTTAGATAACTGTTAGATTATTAGATAATAATGCAATTTGAAACTGGATCTTATTTACTGTAATTATAGCATCTTAAGGTAGAAGACTGTGACTCTGGGATTCAGCTTTAAATCTTACCTTAAAATTAATCTGCATCATGGGCAGAAGATGTATGCAAGTATTATCCCAGTTCAAACTGATGAGGGAATTTATTGTTGCTGATTCTAAGCATTGAAGTGTTTTGAATTTCTCTTGAGACATGCTTACTTTTGAGCCCAGAACTTCAGCAATAGCTGCAGGAATGACATCATGAAAATGGAAATAGGAAAAATAATGTAAGCTTGCTTTTATATTTCACTGATAATTCCCTAAAGGTAGAATTTCCCTATATGTTTGTTTTGAACATATCTTCTGTTGAATACTCATAAAAATATTCTAATCTAATAGGAATAGAAAGGATTCCCAGGAAATTTGACTAAACTAGTAAAACCTTTCTCCAATCTGACAATCTGCTCTTCCTGCCTGCCAATTCATCCAATTGTTTGAAAACGGCAATAAACAAACTATGGAACAAAATCAGGTTTTTTTTTCATATTGAGGTTTCAGAATTCACTTTCAGATTTTTAAGGAAAAAAACTTCAGATAGAAGCTGATACCATTTATGTTAGCTTTAACAAAGAAAGCATTTTTTTCATTAACATTTTTTTTAAAAAGCATTCAAATTGCACTAATTTATTTTTTCTTGTTTAACTATAAAAATTTGTATCTGCTTGCCAGCTTAAAAATAGTAATAGGATAGATTATGAAGAGTTCCAAAAGTGGATAAAAGATTTCTTTCATCCAGATAATCAG